TGCATCGCGGCTATATACAAATATATATATATCTATATATATAATTTTTTTTACCATATTTCACGTCCCACAATGCTTCCTAAAGAGTACCTAAAGGGTTAATATATATATTATTATATGTTAGGGACCACTGTATATATAAATCAAAACATTTAGTCACAGGACGTCTTAGAAGCTTCAGACAGTCCCAGCTTCTGTGCAGCAGAAATGTCCTCTGTCTTCAGTCTTTCTGTCTTCTGTCTCTCCGTACAGACAGCTGTAATGACATCCTAGCTGCCACTGGAAACTACACTCAGCCTGAGGTCACCACGCTGACCTGATGACGATCAGTCCACCCCGCGCAGAGCTCCACCTCCGTCCCCTGCTTTTCTTTCCGTCCTCAGTGAACTGCAGAAGTGACTCTTTGTATTCTGGACCAGTTGTCCTCCACATCCAGGAACCCTGTGGAAAATCTGCCGCAAAAGCAGAGTCATCGAAACAACTCTCATCTACATGTCCCGGAGCGTTTTGCATGTACTGCATGATCTGCTGTTGTCAAACGTACTGGACAGTATGATTTGGTGGACATGTCCTTGGTTGTCTTTATGGGCCTTAGAGTGTGTTTCCCAGTGGGCTCCTGTCTGAACGTTTCTGTCGGTGGTTGTTGGACACAGATGATAAAACAGGGTTTAATCAGACAAATCAGGATTCGATCACTCAGTCAGAGTCAGTCAGTCATCAACTCATGGACTCATCCGCCTGTGGACTCACTGGTTACCAACACGTCTCCTGGCATCTCTTACAGGTAACGGAGCGTCTGGATACGACAGCACGTCAGTTACAGTGAATCCAATCATATTTAACACAGTGTCATAATTCATTAGCAGCTACTTACAGGCGGCTGCCCAACCCTAACATGACTGTAGCCAACCGTCACTCATTCATAAACGGTGTCCGTTTTCTGTTATGCTTCTTTTTTTTTTTTTTTTTTTTTTAGCCATCTGGACCAAAAACTCTAGTTTTTCTTGTGTTTTTGTTGCTCAGCAATTTAGCCAACAAGCTTACGGTCTACATGAACCAACTCAACAAACACCTGTGCTGTCTGTCGTCCTCAGAGATATGTTTGAAGCCATCTCAGCATTTCCAGTCTTTTTTCTGGGCTTCACTGCCGTCTACCGAAAATTAGGTTAGGTCCATTCTTTTTATAAATGATCTATGGTCAGATTTGACGGAACCACACAGACACTGGACAACTGGTTTATTTAAAGAATTGCAGCTGTAAGCCTCTACAGAAACAAACCTCCGCCATCATTAGCTCTCATGTCCACAAATGTCGCTGAACGTCACGTGCTAAACACTCAGACACTTGTGAATATGAGTTTATACAGTAAACTACTGTGACTGTGAACTAGGATTAGATGAAAACTTGAAATCGTTGTGGGATCCTGATCCACCACACACGCTTCAGAGTTCTTTGTTCGTCGCCCGCTCTCTGCCTTCTGTCGTGCCACTGCCTTTTTTTACACAGAGTCCAAGGGACAACGTGCAGATTGTGAAATGGTTGAGACATCAGTGTGGTCTGAACTGCAGCTCAGGCCACACCAGGTTTGGAAATTCTTGAACTATATGAGAATTTAACAAAAACAACTAAAAACAAAAACAGGTTCATGGATCAGTATTACTGGACATTAGGTGTATGCAATCGATGCATTATTACAGGGTGAGTCAGGTCCAAATGTTGACTCTGTAGGGTTGTGCAGTAGGTTTACACTACAGTTGTTATTAAAAATAAAATGCAGTTCAACTCCGTCAGTTCCACTCGTGCCTCCTGTGAGAAAGTGTGCAGTACCGTTGGTAGATTTGTTCCTTAACACTTTGTGATTGTGTCGTATGTAGAAACCCAGTGTCTGTCTTCACTCTTGAACTATTACTGTATACGTCGCCGGTGGTCTACCATAGTGGCCTTATGTTTAATGAACAAAGGAAGCTTCGTTCTGTCGTCAGTACTCTCTCCGTTCCTATGATGACCCACAGTTTTGTAACTATGTATAAGCACAGTTTTTGTTCTTTTTGCATATGTAGCAGAGTTGAATATTCTGGATTATTCCTTCAGTTCCCCCTGTCTGTATGACATGTACTGTATATGCACCATTAAATAGCTGTTAACCAATAAGGACAGAGCATTATTTTGATAATCGATCTTTTTAGCCTCGTTGTCCTCTGTTGTACATAGAAATGGAACGCCATGGAGAAGCATTTGTTTCAGTCAAATCTTTTCTGTTATGCTTCTTTTTTTGTGTGACAATGAGTGTGTGTGTGTGTGTGTGTGACAATATGTGTGTGTGTGTGTGTGTGAGAGAGAGAGACCACCTAGGCATGTGTTTCTGTGCAGAAGTACGTACAAATAAAACCCGTTCTCCTCCTTATGTTGATGACAACACTTTTTTTGCTCGTGTTCATTCACTGTTTACTTTCAGCTGTAGTATTGCAGTACCTGATGTACTCCTGTGTACTACTGTAGGATTATCTGTGGTGGTGACACCAGTGTAATCTGGTTGTTGCTCTGGCGCTTCTTTAAAGCGTGTACTGTCACAGCCCCTGCGGAGCCTCCTGCTCTCCTGTGTCTCTGACATCACGGAGCCAAGGTGCAGACGGAGCACATCTCCATGGAGATCAGGGAATGACAGGCAACGCTATTTACTGCACGGCTGACTTCATCTCCCCCATCTCTCTGTCTTCACCCGCAAAAAAGAGCAACTCTCTTACACGTACAAGTACGCATAATATACATCCCTGCTGTTGCCCATGGGGGGGATGGCAGGTTGGGGGAGAGGGGGCATCTTCTGTACGACATCTTTCATCAGATACAGATGCCAATCTGATGCCTGCCTTCGTCCTGTCTGAAGCTGATGGTACTACATGTACAGTATGTGTTCTTTATTGAACATCTAAATTAATGTTCAACCATTCTGCTCAACTATTAATTGTTCAGACAGACTCAAAGACTTCCCTGCTACATTATAGGATTATCACATCTTAAAAAAGGAATATAATTCCAGATTAAAATGAAACATCTTAGACCTCAGATACACGACACTCCCTTCTGTGAAGGCTCTGCAAATGTTTGACTGAGTAATTGGTCAGTCAATTTATATAACATATATCAATGTCATATTTTGATGACTTAACATGCAAACATGTTTATTCTACCAGTTGGTGGTTTTTCACACCTGATTTATAAAACCAGGAGCGTCCTCTCAGGAGAAATGAAGACTGACTGATTAGTGATTCATTAATTAAGACGAGCCGAGGAGAAAGAGTCAGAGCTGGACGTTACTGTAAGAGAGAGAGAGAGAGAGGGACTGAGGGAGGGAGAGTGGGGGGGCTTTGTCAGGGCTTGTCCTGTCATCCTTCATTACCCCCTTTCACTGTTTCCTTCATTCCCTCTTTGCTTTTTTCTGCTCCTCAGTTGAGGGTTGTCATGACGATGCTGAACACAGTTTCCATGGAGAAAGGCTGAGCCCCAGTGGTTTCACCCTGCCATTCATTCCTGCGACACCATAGAAAAGCATCATGACTTGTGTGACGGAATAACAATGTGTCAACGTGCACGTTACATAAAACAGCTCCACGGAAAATATTAATTACACTTATCACAACAGAACTGGTGTGAGCTGCAGAATTTTAAGGAGTTTATGGAAAACTGTTTACACAACTGAAAACCCAGGTTGTGTGTTGGTGATACTGTGGCGTTTTGTACATTTCGGTGTCTGGTTGTGTTTGTTTCTGGTGGTTCTTCCCAATCAACAGAGGAGGATATGAGCTCCAGCTCCACGCGGAATCAGTGGAGATTGTCCCTGGAGATTCACCCCAACACTGCTACCTGTCAATACTGCACTAAAACCCTGGGATTTAGATGGATAAATGTAAGTTACAGGTGCAATCTTTGGGGTTTCTGGTTGTATCATGGAGAAGGGACAGCTGAGAGTGGATCTGGCCAAAGTCAAAGTGGTAGTAGAGTGGCCAGTCCCATCAACCTGCAAGCATTTTCTTGGATATACCTCTCCTCAGGGGAATGGACAGGCTGAGAGGGCCAATCAGGACCTTGGGGTGACTCTCGGCTGTATCACCTCCCATCACCCAGCTAGGACTAACCTTCTTACCCTGGGTTGAATATCAACAACCATCAGCCACAGGTATGTCACCTTTCCCAGTCTCTTGTGGCTACCAAATCGGCTTATTCCCTGAACAGGAGGTGAGGTTGGGAGTTCCTCTGTTTAGGAGAACATCAAGAGAGGCTGTAGAGTCTGGAAGGTGGTCTGGGCGGCAAGAACAAAACCAAACAGCAGCTGACAAACGCCGCTCATCCGCTCCCCCCTACTCCTCTGGACAGAAGGTATGGTTGTCAGCCAAAGATATTCCATTACAAGTGGCCATTGAGAGTCAGAACATGGCACTCTGGTACAACAGTCCTTACGCAGTCGACAAAGTTACTAACCATACGTTAGTCCGCCTTCAGCGTCTCTTAAGATTCACCCCACTCTCCTTATGTCCCGTGTCCTCCGGCCCGTATTTCATGCAATCTCAGACAGTGACCTGAAGTCTCTCCTGATCATTGGTGACCAGACAGTGCTATTATGTTGTTTTGCTGTTAACAAAGAAGCTAAAGATTTAATGTCGGATGTAAAATTGGTTTAACCTTGATTTCACCTTGGCTATATAGTTGTAATAAACAGGAAATAAAATTGAAACAGCGTCTCTTTTTTAGCAACTTTACGACCTATGTTTGTCTTCTTCAGGCAGGGCACGCTCAGGCAAGTACTCCCCCTGGTGTTTCCACCTTTTTTCAAAAAAGGTTTAAGATCCATTTATGTTTTTTATCTTTTTCTAACTTTTTTTATGTTCTATCATTTTTTAGAATCTTGGCCTCTATATTTAATTTCTTCTCCACTATTTGGGTTAGGATTAGGTTTAGGCTCACAGTTGGTGGTTGGTGATGATCGCTAAGGGTTAGGGTCCAGATTGGATGTTAGGGTCATTGTTAGAAGGAGGAGGGTTGGGTCAAGATTAAAGTCAGGGTTAGAGTTTGAGTCAGGGTTAGTGTTAGGGTTAGGGTTAGTGTCAGGTTTAGTGTTAGGGTTAGAATTGGGGGTTAGGGTTAGGGTTAGGGTTAGTGACAGAGGACAGTGCCAGTAGTTGCCGGAGAGCTTTGTCAGTGTGAAGTTCTTTACTAAAAAATTAAGAAACATTCTGATGCTCTGTACTTAGGTAACAGAAATGTTGGTCTTGTTGCTTTATAAGCAGCAACGTTCGTCTCATTATCACTAAATATCAATGTTTCTTCACAGACACTGACATCCGTTCTGCTGGAGTGCTTTGTGATCACCACTGTAATAACAAGTGAACCAATTTCCCATTTCTCTGAGCATGGATGGAGATGTAATGATGTCTGAAGAGCAGGGGAATTATTTCTCACTCTTCTATCCTAAGGGGACTCCCCCACAACCGCAGAAGCATTATATGCTCAGCAAAGGGTCGGTCTCCTGTGGGCCACTAATGGACAGCGCTCCCTGTTCTGTGCCCCTTGGTGTGTGTGTGTGTGTATGGGTGTGTGTGAGAGGGAAAGGGACGCTAAAATGTTGGAGACAAAATGTCCTGGCATGAAGGAAGCGTTAATATTTGCTCTCTGAAACTTATGTCTCCATCAGTGTTGACCCTGATGGACTACACATTACATCAACCACACCCAACAGCACCACCACCAGCTCCACTCAGACTATTACCCTCTGAAACACAGCGTATGATCAGGACACCAACAATGTGAAAGCTGAACCCAGGACACCGAATATCACAGCAATAACTATGAAAATAACTACAGGATATGGTGATTTTTTTTTATATTTATGTTAAAATTACATTAAAAAATAAAAAGCACATTTGATCAGACTTCATGATCCGTTCCGTACACAGATAGATCATTAAAAAAAATAAAAAGCACATTTGATCAGACTTTATGATCTGTTCCGTACACAAAAAGTATACAAACAAACATAATAATTATTACAGAATATATACAATCAGTGTAAATAAATAGAGAAACAAATACATTGTAAAAAATACAGAATTAAAGAATATGGACATCTACTATTAAAAATATCTGTGATGAAAAATGTGTATGTACAAAATTATTTTATGTATCTCTTATCTTAAATTTAATAACCTTTTTTTAACCAATGGTTTGATTCACTTCTTTTAACTTTTTTTTTGTGTGTGTGGCGTTTGTCTTACTTTGTTTCCTACTTTGTTGGAGTTTCTTGATTCCTCTTCTCTCCGGTCTTTCAGGTGTGTTTTCCTTTGTCTCCTGTTGATTGTCTGCCACACCCTGAGTGGCTGCACCTGTGTGGAATCGTTCCTCCACCTGTAGCCACTTGTCCTGAGGTTATTTAGTCTCTGCCTCCTCAGTCGCTGAGGAACTTCACCACATGCTTGTCACATGATCACATGTTCTTGTCTTAGTTTGTTTGTTTGTTTGTTTTTTTGGCTGAAGAGTTGTTTTCCCTGATTGTGTTTAGTTCTTTGTTGCTCAGTTCATGAGTGCTTGTTCTTCTGCTCTGCTGTTATTTTTTTGTTGTGTATTTGTTTTCTGCATTTGGTTCTAAACGGATGGGTTCTCAAACAATGACTTGGGAAGAATGTGGGCCATGATACAAGGTCACAAAGTAGTCCTGAATTTTAAATACCTCTTTATTAAGTCGGACTGGTGAAGTTATTGATTAGTTCAAGCTGTGATTGACAGGTGCTCAGTGTTGACCAGCTTCAGTCCTGAGGACAGTCAGCTTAACACGTCTCTCTGTCACCAGATGTGACAGAGTGAAGAAGTGACTGACTTCATGTGTCCAAATAGTCTTTGACCAATGGTCCACAGCAAAAATGAAAGACATGTCAATCTTCTGGAAGACATTGTCCAAATGTTGTGCTGTCCTTCACAGTGTGTGTCGTCTAGTTTGGACATTTCTGGAACTTTCTTTCAATTACACTACAAATTTTCAAGTGTGGAGAAATCTTAAAATTAAATGAACAAATAATCAGCTTTGTTGAAAATGATTTCCATTTACTGCCCATGAGGCCACTGTTCTCTGTCAGCAATAACAGTTAGTCGTCTTTATGTACTGGTTCTGAGCAGCATGGATATACAGTATACATATATACATATATATATATGGCACTAATGAAAACCATCTAATATTGTAGTTTTAATCTGCTTCATCTAATCCA